GTCCTTAGGACCCTGTGGAAAGAGGAGTGAGGTCACCGGGCCAGTCAGGGAACCCCTCGGAGACTCGTGGACGCATCCCGAAGAGCCTGACTCCATGAGCAGGACACAGCCTGAGCCCAGGGCTGGGGGTCCACTGTCTACAACAGGAAAGGACCTCAGTGTCCATGGGGGTGACCTGTTCATTCTGCTGTTGTCTGGCTTCGGTTTGGTGCTTTGAGACAGGGTCTCGCCATGAAATTCAGGCTGGCCTTGAACTCACTAGGGAGCCCAGGCTGGCCCTGAACTCACAGAGGTCCTCCTGCCTCAGCCTCCCGTGTGCTAGGACTATAGACGTGCACCATCGCACCTGGCAGTGATGCTTTCTTAGACCACAGTCACAGGGCAGTAGAGAGTCACGCCCAATGTCCCCAACAGAAATGGAGAAAGGTACTGTGCATGGGATGGTGACCGGCCGCAGCCACCTCCTGTCACCGGGCAGGTGGCAGATTTGGAGGAAACTACGGGGGTTGGGGGGACACAGGAGAGCAGACAGACAGGTGGTAAAGACAGATGTTGTTCACCTGGTTTCATACTTGCCTTAAATTTCTTGCCTTAAAACAATGAAAAATAAAGACAGCAGCCGCAAGAGCCAGGGCAGCTCCTGGTCCCGCCTCCTCCTCACCCTGTGCTGGCCCTGGAAACCCCAAACTCGGGGAAGAGGCAGGAAATCACAGGGGACAGACCAAGGGCTTCCTGTGCTGTCACTGCCTGCCCCAGAGTGCCCACAGAGGCAGTCAGAGGCCCTCCTGATGAAGTTTCACTCAGCAGGAAAAAGTCTCCCCCCCTCGACATGTGAAAAAGCCCACAGGAGCCAGAACTGAAGCCATTTCTTCCTCTCCCCTCCCACTTTCGTTGAACTGACAGAAGAGGAGTTGGAGTAAGAGTAACAGTGGAGAAGATCCAGGACTATTTCCCCGAAGGGCGGCCTGTGCAGCTGTCCAGGCTGTTCACTGCACAAGGACAGCCAACAGACACACTGTCTGCCAGGCCCTCTGCCCTACAGCAAGCCTCACCTGGTAGTGGGTGCTGTTTTTTCGTATTCATAAAGAAACACCCTTCTGAGCCAGCAGAGGCCCTGTTCCCCCTTTCTCCCAGGAAAAGTCACCCCTGGGTCACCCCCACAAGCAGGTATAGGCAAAGAACGGGGCTTCCCTCAGGTTAGAGGCCACCTGCAGGGTCAGCACCCACGTGCCCCCAAGCTAAAGCTGTCTGCTGAGGTCCCTATGCCCCTCAAATCCTCAGGAGTAGGGCTAGGAGTGTCCCCTGGCTGGGGTCAAATGCTTCCCTGGTCACCTGGACCGGTCAAGAGGGGCTCCCAGCTCTGTCCTGATTTGGGGGTGGGGTGACTTCCGGTGACGTTGGGGAGGGGCAGCCACAGGCGCCTGCCAACCTCAGCCCGTTCTGGACTCCACTCAAGGCCTGACCGGAGCCCGGGAGGCGTGGCCAAAGAACAAGAGGGACGGCGAGGACCGGGCAGCAGGGGCAGCCCTCACCCTTGGGCAGGGCAGAGCAAGAGCAGCTAACCTTTTCCTCCCTGCTCAGCCCGCAGCAGGGCTCTGGCCGGGCGACTAGGACGCGGCTGCCTGTCCCTCTTCCTTTACCTGAGACGCAGTTTAACTGGACATCCGGTCCGTTTGGGTTTGCGCTCAGTCAGAAACCAAGCCCCGGGCCCCATCCTGGACACAGCCCCACTCTGGGCTCGGTCAGTCCTCCCAGATTGAAGCCAGTCTCTCAGACAGGCGACCCTGGACCTTTTGTACCAGAATCCCTAAGGGTCCATCAAAAAGCAGACTCCCACCCAGGAAGGCTGAGGCAGGAGGGTCCAAGTTTAAAGCCAGCCTGGGCAACTCTGTGAGACCCTGCCTCAACATAAAAGGTGAAAAGGGCCAGCACAGAGCACAGGGAGCAGGCCCTGGATTCCGTCCCTCGCACTGTGCTCCATTGGTTGATGCCCCGCCGAGCTTCAGGCAGCTTCCTGCGGGTCCCCCGCACCGGGAGGCTGACCTTGGCCCTGCTTTCTAATCTGACTCACAAGCAGAGGGAGCCCGAAGTGCTGAGCAGCCCAAGCAGCCAGACACAGCCGCTCTCTGGGAACCGATGACAGCGTTCTCCACACGGCCATGGGGACAGGTGGTGGCCAGGCCACGGGAGGACAGGGCGTTACCTGGTACCCACCTACAGCCGGGCCTCCTGCAGCACAGCACCCTTGGGAGCGGAAGTCATCAGGGATTCAGAGTAGGCCTGCATGGCCTCCTTAGCGTTTGAGCCCTTTTTACTACCACTCCAAAATAAATAGCACTTCTCCTAGAAGACAACCAAGCCTGTTTAGAGCACACGGCCACCGGCTCTCCCATTTCCGGAGGCAGGGAGGAGGCAGCGAGGTGTGGTCTCAGGGTCCACAGACCCTGGGACTGGGCAGCCAGGACAGGAGAAAGGACCCTGGGGCCATGAGCCCAGCTTGGGGCTCCGTCCCCTGGGCTACGGGGGAAGCGTGCAGGGACAGCGGCGGCCAGCATGGGGATTTTAATCAACTGGACAGGATTTTTTCCCTTCAAATACTTTTGAGTTTTGTTTCCTAAAAAAGAACTTCAGATAAAAATTTCTTTGAAAAGGAATTAAAATATGGTGCATTTACCAGGCAAACAAACAGAATAGGACAAATGCCAGTCACCGGGCCTGAATGACACAGCAGGAAGAGGGCCTCGCCACGTGGCAGAAGGGAAACAGTGCTGGGAATCCCCAGGTCAGAATCTGGGGTGATGCCTGGCCATTGGTCTTTGTTTTCTGAGACAGGGTCTCAACAGATCACTAAATTGCCCAGGCTGGGCCTGAACTTGTGATCCTTCTGTCTCAGCCTCCCTGAGTGCTGGGATTACAGGTGTGTACCACCACACCTAGCTTCTGGCCTGTCCTGAACTGCCTGCCGGATCCAGTCAAGACTCTCTGGGTGCTGGTGCAGGTGTCCCACATGTGTAATTCTAGCTCCTCAGGAGGCTGAGGCAGGAGGGGGGCAAGTCTGAGGCCAGTCTGGGCAACATAGCAAGATCCTGTCTCAGAACTTAAAAGGCCGGAGGCAGAGCTGAGTGTACAGCACCCTGTGAGGCTGGAGGCGGCCCAGTCGGGCCCACAGCTCCCAGCCCAGCAGCAGAAGGGTTCAGATCCAGCAAGACAGTACTCGGTGCTACCAGCAGCGAGGTGGCCAGAGCCCCACCTGCCTGCAGCAAGCATGCACGCAACAAGCCTGCACAGCGGGAGGGCGGGAGCAGAGTGCCTTGCTGAATCAAGAGAGCAGCAGAGGGTGTCCCTGGAGGTGGGGGGGACGGCCTGGCCCAGGAGGCCTGCGAAGTGGCTCCTCACACACCTTCCCAGCCTGTGCCCTGGAGCAGCGTCCCTGCCTCCTCTGCCCGAGCCCTGTGCCCACACCCTCCTGTCACCCCGCGATCTCAGGAATCTGAAAGCTTGGCCATGCACAATCTCCTGACCTCACTGCCTGTTTCTGTACCATGGACAAATGGCCCCCAAAAGGGTAGAGGTGTACTCAGCCCTCTTGTTCCTGCTTCTAAAGCCAGAAGCCCAGGGTGGGTATTCTTCATCTGTGCTCCCTCCTAGTATGGCTTCCACCATTCTGAGACACACCTCAGCCCCCACTCCAGAGTTCCACACAGTGATCCAGTGACTTCTCCCTTTAGAGCCTCCCACAGCTTCTGGCCACTGGAAATCAGTTCCACGCTGCTGGAATACTGCATGGCCTCCCCTCCCCAGGCACCCTGACCCTGCCTGATTCTCATGATCCCTGCTCCAGGGCCTTTGCATGGGCAGGCATTCATGCAAAACTTCTGGATTTCAAAGACCTGATTTGAAAGAAAAACTTGCAAAAATAGTATATATTTTATACCGATTACATGTTGCAATGAGAGTATTTTGGATATATCTGCATTAAATAAAGTAGCCATTAAAATTAATTTTACCCTTTTCTCCCCCCTCCTTTTTTTGGTACCGGGGATGGAACTCAGGTCCTTGTGCTTGCGAAGCAGACGCTGGAACCACTGAGCTAAATCCCCGGCTCGCCCCTTTCTTTTGACTTAATGTGGCTATCAGAAAATTTAAGGTCCTACGCGGGGCTCGTGCATAGTTCTGACTCTAATTCATCAAGTTTCCTGTCAGCTTTATTTTGGGTAGAAGCATCTTTTCTGCTTACATCCCTGGGTTTCATAGCCACCTGCGCACTTTGTCTGGGCAGGGTCATCCCCTGTCCGCAGGCCCTGCACCCACGGTGCCACCTGATAGCCCCTGGCACCAGGTGTTGCCACCCAAGCCTGCACACCTCGAGAAGCATCCCAGGCCTTCCGGGACAGGTAGCAGTGGAAATGCAGATGCGACAGGTGAGAGGCTGCAAGAAGGAAGGCTGTGCCCGATTTCACCTGATCCCGACGGCCCCATCCCCAGCGGCCGGGGCCAGGCCACCTACCTTGCTGCGGACCTGATAGACGACTAGGATGATCAGCAGCACACTGCCCAGCGCCAGGAGCACGTACTGTACGTAGTGGAGGATGTTGGGAAGCAGCACCAGCTGAGTGTAGAACGTGCTGAGTGGCTCACCCTCCATGGCCCCGCTCTAGGGAGGCAGAATGACAAAGAACTGGGACCCAGACGCAGGTGCCACGCCCGTCTGTCCTGTGGATCCTTCTCCCCATCCCGGGCTCCCCGTACGAAGCGCTAGGCGTTCTACAAGGCACTGTAAGAGCCTACAATTCCCAGAGTCCCTTGCAGTGGTGCATGGCCACGTGATCAAGCTCTGGCCAATGGGCGGTAGCTCCGGTCATCTAGCCTGCCCCACGTGACCGACATGTTTTTCCCAACCAATGAAGGGAAGCAGAGCCCGAAGACTTCAGGGGAGGAGGCCACAGAACGGAAAGTGCGTAGGGCCCTGCCTGACTGAGTGGACCAGGGTCTCGTCTCCCCTGTCTGTCCCAGCCATTAGCAAGCCCTGGTTTGAATCTAGGTAGACTCTAAATAACATAGTGAAATAAAGCAATATAAAAAATTGCCGGGGATTTCGTTCGGTGGTTCCTGTGCCTGCCTCGGAAGCACAAGGGCTCAAGTTCAATCCCCGGTACCAAAAAAAAGAAAAATACCAAAAAAAAAAAAAAAAACACACACACACACACACACACACACACACACACACACACAGAAGGCCTAGTGACAGGCATGGCAGCACACGCCTGTAATCCCAGCACTCTGGGAAGTTGGGGCAGAAGGATCGCAAGTTCAAGTCCCACCTGGACAAGTTGGCGAGATCCTGTCTCAAAAAAAAAAAAAAAACGAACAGAAGGAAAAAAAAAAAAAAAGCAACAAAAACCTCCAAAAATTCTTAAAAAAAAAAAAAAAAAAAGCGAAGCTAGAAGGAAAATAGAAAAGCAAGAAGAGGTTCACAGCAAAGTGGACTCAATGACCAGCTACCAGGGACTCTGAAGACATGGTCACGGCACTGACGAAGCCATCACTGCGGCCCCTGTTGCATGCCCGGGCTCCTGGGCCCCGACACCGCACCTCGGTTCTCTCACCTGCCCAAACCACAGCAGCGGCAGGACCACCGGCTCGATGTTCCCAGTTTGCCTACAAGTAAGCAAGACACCGCGGTGAGTTAGGCCCTGCTGTCTCGGCATAGGAGCAAGTGCTTGGGGTCCACAGGGCGCTGTGTCTGCGGCCTCGAGGCTGTACAGGTGGGGCTGGGGGCCATGAGGCGGGTGAGCAAGGTGTGGAACATTTCCTTTGTTTGGCTTTGGTTTTTTTTTTTGGTACCGGGAATAGAACTCGGGTCCTTTTATTTATTTTTTGAGACAAGGTCTCCCTTTGTAGCCCAAGCTGGCCTTGAACTTGTGGCAAGCCACAAGGTCCCGAGTTCAATCCCCGGTACCAAAACAACAACAAAAAAACCAGTTTCACCAGTGATGCTCATAGCCCTGGGTTACTCTAGGAGGCCCAGAGTGGGATGGAGGCCCCAGGTCCTCGCTCCAGCTCCTTTAGCTCCTACTCAACACACAGACTGAATAAACACAATTCCCTTGTGTAAACTGTGTGACCAGGCGAGTCACCTGGCCATTTTGTGTCCCTGTTTTGTCTTCTACAAAACAATGCTGGTAGAGCAGCAGCCTAGTGGGGTTAGGCAAGGACTAAGTGAGGACTGTGGACCTCAGCTTGGAGACTGACAGTCGGGAGCACAGCCCCCAGGCTGCCCACGACCTGATCCCCAGCCTGTGAAAATCAAAAGTAGGCATGACTATGGCTCAGTGGCTGTCACTGCTGAGGCAGGACTGTGTGATCCACAGTCCCTCTCCTACCACAGCCAAAGGAAACAAGGACACATGTCCACCCCAACACATAAAGGGTCACAGCAGCACAAGTCACCAGGGGCAAAAAGTGGCAGTGATGTAATATCCGTTCATAGAAGGTGTGGTCAGTCTCTGTGGTGGAGTATTACACAGCCATGAAAAATACCTACACCTGCTATAGCTCAGATAGTTGAAGACAGGATGCACAGTGAATGACACCAGACAGAAAAGGCCTGGTGGTCTGCCATTCACCTGTGTGACATGTCCAGAATGACCACATCCATGGTGACAGAGGGTGGACTGGGGCCTCCGGAGACTTAGGGGACGGAAGAGGATGGTTTAGGGGCCCAGGGTTTTGTTTAAGGGTGATGAAAATGTTCTGGAGTTGGCTGTAGTTAGGGCTGCACAACTCTGAGGACAGACTACAAATCACTGGAATGTACATTTGAAAAGGATGATTTGTATGGTCTGTGAATTATCCCTCCACAAAACTGGTTTTTGTTTGTTCTGAGATAGAGACTCACTATGTAGCCCAAGCCGGCCTCAAACTCACAGTGATCCTCCTGCCTCAGCCTCCCAGTGCTGGGCTCACAGGAGTACACCACCGTGCTTCACTTAACCCTGTTATTTTATTTTATAGTTTGTTTTTATTATTTTTATTATTTGTTTTTTTTTTTTTTTTGAGACAGGGTCTCTATACGTAGTTCAGACTGGCCTTGAACTCACTATGTAGCCCAGACTGGCCTCAAACTCACAGCAATCCTCCTGCCTCAGCCTCCCGAGTGCTGAGATTACAAGCGTGCACCACTGCACCAAGCTTTAACTCTGTTTTTTTAAAAACTGAAAAAACAGAGAAAGAGAGAGAGAGAGAGAGAGAGAGAGAAAATCAGGTGCTTGAAAGATTTCTCTGTAAACAGTCGCACTTAAGAACACTGGTTGAATTTTCATTTTTAAATGCTTACTGTGGCCAGGCCGTAATTTTCCCACACTGCAGAGTGGGAGACAGCCCAGGTCGAAGAGCCCACCTGGGGCCGGGGGACGGGAAGTAAAGGAGGGGCAGTGTGTGGAAGGGATGCAGGGTACAAGGCAGGGCTCGCCCGGAGCTGAGCTGGCCCCGGGAGGCGGCCGGGACCAGGCCCCACTCACCCGATGCCCTTGATGGCTTTCATGTAGAGGCTGAGCTGCAGCTTCACGGAGCAGTTCATGGGGATCCCAGTGACCTGCGTGGCAGAGGACAGTGAGCAGCGCCAGGCGGGCGCCGGCTCCACACCCGGAGGCTGGCCGCACTGTGCCTCCCACCACCGTGGGTGCTGCAGTGCACCCCGACATCCGCACTGACGCCCAGGCCCCCAGGACACGGTCCCCAAACGTCCTGGCCTCTCCTCCTGTCCCCTCCACGAGGCAGGATGACTGGTCTCAGGCGGCCCCTCCCAGCCCCTCGTCTGCCCACTTTCCAGGTTGGCTCAGACAGGAAGCTACAACCTGGGAACTCGGTCCCCAGAGCCTTTGCAATAAACCTACCCGGAACCTCGGTCTCCCACAAGCCACCGTAGGCTCGGCGCCACTGCCAATGTTTGGTGGTTGTTTTTGTGTATGGCAACCCTGGGGCCGACACTAAGTTACATCCCACCCCTTCCTTTTTTTGTGGTTTACTTTGAGACTGAGCCTGGCTAAGTCACTAAGTTACCCCGGCTGGGCTCAAACTTGTGATTCTCCTGCCTCAGCCTCCCAGAGTGGCATATGCCACTTTCAGAGAGCTCATTTATATGGTGCCTGTCTTTTTTTTTTTTTCTTTAGGATTTTGTCACTTCCTCTTCGTTGTAGTAAAAGAAAGTTTTCTTTGTGCAGAAATATTTTAAGTGAGACACTTTTCAAGTAAGCAACAGGAGTGGTGCACGGATGTCACCAAGATGGAGAGGGGCCCAGGATGGAGGCCGGGGGTGCTGGCTGGTGCTTCCCTCATCATCTGTAAAATGGGGTTCACTGTACCCCATTCATGGGATTTCTGCCAGGGCAAAAGAAGGTGCCTGGGACGGCCAGGCTTGGGGCTGCACACACCAGGGCAGAAGGCCCAGGCTGATGTGCTCATTAGCTCAGCTCAGCTGTTACCCAGCGGGGGCACCTGTGACAATATCGTGCTGCACACTATAACACATGCAACTTTTATGGTTCCATTTAAAGAACATTTTTTTTAAAGGAGGCAGATGGAGAGCTGGGTGTGCCGGGCCACACCAGTCATCCCAGCACTCTGGGAGGCTGAGGCTGGGTAATTCCAAGATTGAGCACAATTTAGCAACTGGGCAATTTAGCAAAAGAGACCCTGTCTTAGAATAAAAATAAAAACTGCAACAGGGGCTCAGTGTGAGCCCTGGGCCCAACCCCTACACTATGTGGGCCAAGAAAACCTAAGAGGAGAATGTGAGAGTCCCAGGGAGCACAGCCGCACCCCAGAGAATGTGGGGTCACTGAGTCCCGAGGGACACCCCACAGCCAGCAGGGGTGTGGCTGGGCTGAGCCATAGCGGGTCCGCCCCCTCCCCGCTGGGAGACAGGGCTTTCCAAGGGATGAATTCCTCCAGGCCTGACTCACAGTGTCATCTGGGCCTGAGGCTGCCGGCAAATTAGCAGGAGGCCACCAAACTGATAACGCCTAATTAATTTACTGCCTGATGGCTCTTCTATAGACACCTATAAAAGGTCTGTGATAAAGCCCTGGACTATGGAGTCGGGGTAAAGTGGTGACCTTGCTCCATCTTCCGGCCAGCCGGCCGCTCTCTCCCTGAGGCCGGTGGAGGGGCCCAGGGCTCACCGGGTGGATGTCCAGGAAGAGGGCGTGGTCCTCCGCGTTGGGGTGCAGGCCAAGCACCCTCTCTGCCAGGACCGGGTCGGCATTGTAGAAGTGTGGCTGGGAGAGGAAGAGGGGCGCACCTGGGACGCAGAGGGGCAGAGGTGTGTCAGGCACGGGGGCCTGCAGTGCACGTCGCGGCCCTGTGCAGCCCGAGCAGCGCTGGGGGGCCAGACAGGGACATGGCACAGGGTTCCATGACAAGATACACACACAGCTAGGTGCACGCCTGTAATCCCAGCACATGGGAGGCTGAGGCAGGAGGATGGTGGGGAGTTCAAAGCCAGCCTGGGTGACACAGTGAGTTCAAGCAGCCTGGACTACATGGCGGGACCCTGTCTCAAAAAACCAAAACTGATTTGAGCACCAATGAACAGGAAGAGCCCCTGGCTCGTTTCATAAAGGGCCTGGGCACAGGAGCACAGGACTCTGGCAGGAGAGGGAATAGGGAGAGAGGCCAAGGGACAGCACTGCAGGCGGAGGGGACAGCAGAGGCTGTGCAGGGCACTGGGCTGTGCATCGAGGGGTGGGGAGCTGGTAAGCGGGGCAGTGCAGCGGGGACCTTGCCACCCCTGCGTCAGGAGATGGGGCTGACGACGGCAGGACGGCCAGCTAGCTTGCCCTGGCACAAGGGACAGCTGGGTCCGACAGACTCGTCCACCACAAGCCTCTGCAGGGTGGCACCAGGCCACAGGAGTGAGGTGTGGGTGACGGACAGCAAGCACAGTGGCCGCCTGTCAAGCAGCTGGAGACCAGTGGCGGTGGGGGATTGTGCCGGGCCCCGGGCCTGCGAGGCTTCCACAGTGACCCCTCTCCCAGCAAGAAACAGACTGCTGGGCACCTGAAGGTCCTGAGCCTTCCCAAACCACAGGTGTTGGGAAGATGGAGAGGGTGGAAGCTGGCGCCTGTGATCCTAGTACTCTGGGAGGCTGAGGCAGGAGGATCGAAAGTGTGAGCCCAGCCTGGGCAACTTAGTAATTTCAGCAAGATGCTGTCTCCGAATTTAAAAAGTGCTGGGGATGCAACTAAGTCAGAGGCCCTGGGTTCAATCCCCAGTGCTGCCAAAAAAGACAGTGGGAGCAGATGCCTTCTAGGTGGAGGGGGGCACATCAAGCACTATGAGGACAAAGTCCTATGGTCTAGAAAACCCTGTCTCCCACGCTCGTCTCATCCCCGCCTGTGTCTTGGCCGACACCTGCGAGCCCCACCCGGGCCATCAGAATAATTGATTTATAGCTCCCCGGCACACCTAAGCAGACTCAATCACACCTGGCAAGTCAGGACTTGAGGAGCCGGAGCCTGGCCTGGGGGCACAGGCCAGGCAGTCTCCAAGGCCTTGCAGGGAAGTGCGTGCAGATTTTAAATCTGGAGATAAAATGCCCTACACATGCATGTCCGGGACACCAAGGAGCATGTGCAGGAATGTTCCAGAAGCACTCGGAAGGGTCAGGATCTTCGGGAACGAAGGAGGGGTGAGGAAATTGGAGCATGTGGCCACCAGACATGTGGCTACCTCTGCAGAGGCCAGTGCCAGCAGGCAGCGCCCAGGTCACCGTGAGGAGTCGAGGGCACAGAAGGCGTCAGGCACCACCACTGAACATGGGGCCACGTGGCCTTGCCAAGTGACAGGGCTTGTCCTTTGCCCTGCTCTGTGCATCTGGGTCTAGCCAGGCAGGTGGCACATGCCTGTCATTCAGCTCTCTGGGAGGCTGAGGCAGGAGGGTCATAAGTTCAAGCCCAGACCAGGCAATTCAGCAAGTTAGTGAGACTCTCTCTCAAGTAAACAAACCAACAAAAAAGGGGCTGTTCCTGGGTTCAATCCCCAGTACCTCAAAGAAAAAGGAAAAGCCTCATTCAATAAACATGTTTAGGACCGGGGATTTAGCTCAGTGGTTCTGCCGCCTGCCTCACAAACTCAAGGACCTGAGTTCGATCCCTGGTACCAAAAAAATAAAAATAAGTATGTTTAAAGATATCCAAACTCTTGAACTTTTCAGATTCTTCGTGGTGGATGTGCTAAGAGAAGGCAGTGTGCACCCTCTGTAGAGGGGATGTCGCTCTCCCCTCCTGGCCGCTGTACCCCACTTACACCCTCCTTTGGGCTCTGCTTTGAGGGATGCCGGCCCCACCCCTGAAGGCTGAGCACGTGACACAGCCTGGCCAATTAGCATAGCCCAGCTTGCCCTACACACATGGATTGGTTCAGAGCTGGGCATGGGATGCAGAGCAACCACTCAGAGTGAACCCTGGGAATTAGGCTGGATGCAGAGGAGCCTGGGACCTCCACCCTGACTGCCCCCATCTATCCGGCATCTGTGCCAGCCGGGAAACCAAGCTGGAGCGTGCATGGCAAGAGGTAGCTTCCAGGCAACACTCACAATCTGGTCCACGCTGCGCAGGGGTCTGCCTGGAGTTTTAGTTCCTCTACCAAGCAGTGTCCTTTGGGCCTGGCACCTGCCACTTGTCACAGAAGTGGTGACACCCCTCCCTGCGGGTGACCCCTCGGGCTCCGTGCTCAGAGCAGAAATCCCTGCAGACAGCAGTGAAGACAGAGGGAGACAGAGAGGATGACGTCCTGGCCCACAAGGCAGGCACCCAAACCTTCGCCTGTGGAGTCCTGTGCAGCCCGTGGCTGGGGACACTGTCCTGGCTCCCGAGCACCCTTCCGAACCCAGCTGCGTGGCCCCAGGCCTGATTTCTAAGGAGACACACGCGTGCACGCACTCAAGTCTGTGGGGCCACGGCGGCCACATGGAGCCCAGTCCGCAGAGCACAGCCTCCCAGAGCAAGGAAAAGCCCCACAGCAATGAGCAGTGGAAAACAAAACAGGAAGTGATGGGCCGGGTGTGCTGGTGCATGAGTGTCATCCCAGCACTCTGGGGAGGCTGAGGCGGGAGGATCACAAGTTTAAGTCCCGCCTGGGCAATTTAGGAACTTAGTGAGATGCTGTCTCAAAATTAAAACCTAAAGGGCCAGGGATTTAGCTCAGTGGTTCTGCTGCCTGCCTCACAAACGCAAGGACCCGAGTTCAATCCCTGGTGCAAAAAAATAAAATAAAATAAAAAATAAAAAGGGTTGGAGAAGGGCTGGGGATTTAGCTTAGTGGCACCGCATCTGCCTGGCAAGTGCAAGGTTCCCCAGTACCAAAAAAAGTGGGTTGGAGATATAGCTCAGTGCAAAGGCCCTGTGTTCAGTCCCCACTACCAAAATAGAAAAGACATTTTTGAAAAGATGAAGTAATAGAGGGCAATTGGCAGGGGAAGCTGGGAGTGGTCGCAGGATGGAGTGCTGGGCAGAGACCCAACAGAGGGTGAGGTGGGGACCCGTGAGGATACGGCCTGTCCCTGCCACCTCCAGCATGGGGTCCCTGAGCACGAGGGGCTGCAGGCGTCCGAAATGCGGCCAGGGTGATGAAGGGGCTTTTGGATGTGACGTCACTGCCCAGCCACGGGAGGCAGAGGGTCTCGGGCCAGGGCAGGGCCTCCTACCGCACCTCACCCGGCTGCCACTGGCCAAGTCCAGGCCCAGGGACCTGCCTGCCCGCTGGCTGGATAGTCTCGGGTCCTCAAAGTCAAGCTGGGGGCTCGGCAGGGGACGCGGCTGGCACTGAAGGCAGGGGAGGCCGCACAGCCCCGCTCCTCCCCGACCGCGGCTGAACCTTAGCCTGCGAGCATGGCAGAATTCCAGACCCAGATAACACACAGCGCACATCTCCGGAGCAGCCGGCTTCCCGGGCGTTATCTCCGCGGTGCCCTCCTTATCTGCGGCCTGATGGGATGATAGAGGGTGCAGAGGCCGGAGAGGCGACGAGCCCGCCCGCGACACATACCGAACCTGCAGGTGCTCAAGTTCTGGACGCCCGACTCCAGACACGGGCAGAAGCCCTCGTTGGGCGGGTAGATGGAGCCGTTGGCGAACAGGGTGCTGGGGGCCACGAAGCGGTAGGTGGGGATGCCCTGGAACACGCTCTGCTCCCGGTAGACAAGCCGCATGGACCTGGGGGAGGCAGGCGGTGAGGGACCCAGATGTGCCCGCTCAGCCCTCCTGGTCCGCAGCTGTGTCCCTTCTCGCTATGCCCTGAACGACAGAGAGCCTCTATACCACGTGCACACTGGGTCTATGCTACAAGTCACCTAGGGAGGAGTCACAGTACGCAGGAGCACGCGTGCTGGCTATAGGAAAATGTGCCTCCGCTTAGAAGCAACTCACACATCTGGGGATTTTAGTACCCATGGGGGTTCTCGAACCCAAGACGCCAAGGGGCAGCTACGAGTGGCTCCCTTTGGGACGCATTGTCCTCCCCTGCCCTTGCCCTGCCCTCCCTTCCCTGTCTCACTGACCCCCCCCAACCCCCTGGCCTTAGCACAAAACCTGCTCCTTGATGCCCCAGGACCTCTGTATGTGCTGCAGCCTGACCAGGACGAGGAATGCTGCTCCCTGAGGCCTCACAAAGCAGATTCAGTTCTCCACCCTTCCTCTCCGCCACCCCATCCACCTTCCATCCCTGTGCCTGCTGTCCTGCCTCAAAATGGAAACCTGGACTGTGTGGGCCTCTCTGTCCAGCCCTTAACCCTTAACCCGGGGTGAGTCTGGGTGCAGGTGTGTGGCCAGTGTCCAAAACACCCCAGGCCTCTCAGAAATCAGAAAACTCTCCAGTGATGTTTGAAATAATATGTGGGTCAGTCATCACAGCTGGAAAGTTGAAAGCTAGAGACACAGCTAGTGCACACCTCCAGTCCTAGCTACTTGGGGAGGCTGAGGCAGGAGGATCATCTGAGCGTAGCTTAGGCCACTTAGCTAGAACCCATCTCAAACAACACTTGCACCTGTGCCTTGCATTACAGCCTCGCTTAGACAGTGCCATTGTGTTCGTGTTAAATGCCCCAGTTTTAATGACCGATTGTGTAAGAAAGTATCTGTTTTTAGAAAACACCCACGGAAGTGTTTAGGCGTAAAAGGCTTGTTGTCTCCAAGCGAGCAGCTCTGGTGGGCAGGAAGAAGGTACCCGGAGGGAGGCGTGGGCAGAAGAGAAGCCAGGCGAGGCGCTGGCACTGTGGTTGGCTGAGTGTGGAAAGGGCCCTGTTCGAGGGACAACGAGGCCTGGTGGGAGGTCATAGGTCATGGGCGTGGCCTTGCCCCACAGCTCTTTTCGGTCTCCCGCTGCCGCCGGTGAGTGCAGAAATAAAATAACATCGTGGTTTTTTTTAAAGAGCGCATGGTCTCTGACATCCCAGGCCTTGCTGGCGTCCCCTGAGAGCACATGAGTGACCGCGACGAGGGGACCTTGTCCGTCTCCGTGCCTGGCACAGAGCAGGGCTCCCCGGACTCAGGGAGGCGGAGAGTCAAGGGTCAAGGTTCACGCAGGGAGTCCCCGTCAAGGACGCTGCGGTGCACAGGGACTGCAGGGCACTTCCTGCCCGCCCCGCGGCAGCCCCGCACCTGGCATTCTCTGCGCTTTGCAGGTCAGCACTTGGGCAAGGCTCTCCACGGGGCAGCCAAGCGGAGCCCAGGGTGGCACCGGGGCTGGGACCCTCAAGACCGGCCGCCAGATGCTGGCGCAGCCCCCAGGAAGCAGATTCTGCCGGGGCGGGGAGCTGAGTCAGCGCAGTCACCTGCAGGCCTCAGGGCTGTAGAACTCCAGCAAGGACTCTGGGGTCATGAAAGGAGGCCACATCTGCCCGGAAGTCCCGTTGATCATGTTGCACTGGTCCGAGTGCCAGAAGTTGAGCTGAAGAAGGAATCACAGGGGATGAGTCGCCCTGGGGCGGGACCCCCGAGCGTGTGACTGTGGCCCAGACCGTAGGAGGTCACCCCCATCTTGCCCCAAAGGAGTCAAGAGACTCCTCCTCAGAACAGATGAGGCAGGAACTGGTGTGGGGTCAACTATTTGAAATCACGATGGCAGCAGCTGCCAGGAAACCTCAGAACAGAAAGGGCAGGGCTGGTGTACGGGGAGTGAGGCTTGTGCCTTTCTTTTTCGTATTTTTTAGACAGTCTCACTATGTAGCCCAGGCTGGTGTCAAACTTGTGGCAATCCTTCTGCCTCAGCCTCCTGTTTGCTAGGATTACAGACATGTGCCACCACGCACAGATTCCAAAACTCTTTTTTTTTTTTTTTTT